AGCCAGGGAAGCCGCAGTACGGCCGAGGGGAGCTCTCCGCCCGCATCGCGCCAGCCTTCACCGCCATCCTCACCTCGCCCTTCCCGGCATCGGGCATGCCGGTTAAATTTGACCGAACTTTGTATAACGGGCACAACGGCTACAACCCGGTCACCGGGATATTCACCTGTCCCGTGTCGGGCATCTACTACTTTGCCTACCACGTGCATGTCAAAGGGACCAACGTCTGGGTGGCGCTTTATAAGAACAACGTGCCCGCCACCTACACGTACGACGAGTACAAAAAGGGCTACCTGGACCAGGCCTCGGGCAGTGCCGTGCTTGAACTAAAGGAGAACGACCAAGTCTGGGTACAAATGCCCTCGGACCAGGCCAACGGGCTGTACTCCACGGAATACATCCACTCGTCCTTCTCCGGGTTCCTGCTTTGCCCCACATAACGCCTGTTGGGCATATTTCCTTTTCACCCACTTTAGCCATAAACTGTCTTTCTTTTTTTTTTTATAAAAAAGTTTTTTAAAATTAATACAAAAAAGAAAAATCACTGGGAAGAACGTGCAAGCCGTCATGGGACCTTGCTTCGCGCTGTTTGATCCACGAGTCAAGAGGGCGATCGATCGGAAAGGAGACATCTTTCTTTCTCGTTTTGGGGAGGGAGGGGAGCGGCTATCTCAGCAAGGCGTATTTGGGATAAACACTACCCTAGTGACTGCACGAACGCAGGAGTGCGCTTGGGATGGCAGGGATCTGGCTCTGCGGTAAACTGCTCTGAGATCCAGGGCGGGTCATCTGGAAGACCAGACCCTTCTGGCCCATAATCCAGTGCCCTTGTTTCCCACCTCGAGTACTAGTTAAATAAACACAGCTGTGGTGACGGGCGGTGTCCTTGCTAACCAGCACAGGGCTCCTAGGCACTTAACACAAACCTGTATGGCAGCAGAGAGCCACGACGGATTGAGAAATTTCCTTCCCAACCCATCAGGTGCCCAAGTTTCAGTCTCCCTGATGCCTGTTTTTTCAGCCCGTGCTTTGAGGCAGTCTCCCCGACTCAGTCCCCATGCAGTGTGGTTGGATTTATAATCATAAGAAGTGGAACACTTTGCATAAGCACCTTCTTGTAAGAAGTCAATATTATTTTTAAGCCTCCCCCCAGCACCTTTAGGAATAAAATCATCCAGGCACCGGTGTCTGGGAGGATGGCAGACAACCTATTCCAAAGCCACTGGGGGAAGCTGGGACCCCGGTGATGAGCAACAATCCTCTCGCGGGTTCATTCACCTCCTGGCAAGTGCAAGGGCTTGTCCTGTCCTGCCTGTTTCTTTGCGGCCCAGACTTGCTCGGCCTCAGGAGCACCTGATGCTTGAGAGCACAAGGACGGTGCCACCAGCCCAGCTTACGGTGCTTCTAGCCTGGCCTGACAGAAGGTTTAGCTCCGCTTTCTCCAAAGTGCCACTTACAGACGACTTGCTTTTACTGTCTCGCTATTTCGGGATGTGTAAACTTCTGCATTTATCCCCTCCTTTCTCTGGGGACCTTTTAATTAAGCAAAAATAGCGTTCGCTCTAACTCTGCATCCGGTCGTTTTACAACGGTGCTAGAATCTACTTAACGACGTTACTGACGAGTCTAGTGCAATATGTACCTGTAACAGCGCGCCGCTCCGGCGGCCAGGCTGTGACTTGGGTTAAAGAAAAATCGCGTCTGTCTGTTGTTACCACTTTGTCTCACTAATGCCTGAAATGCTACCGACCTAAATATGAGCGGCAAGGTTCTGGGCAAGGTATGCACGGATCCCCAACCCTGTGGCTTCGCAGATTTCCTCATGCGAGAGCACTCCCTGCCACTCGCACTGAGTTGAGCGATTCTCTCCCCCCGGGCAGGGAGCACACGCTGCTGCAGTTAAAATCCACCCGCGTTACACTGCGTGTCCCTCCACAAAGGCACATCCCCGAGAAAACAGCGACAATTTGGGCACTGGCTGAGCAACTGTTACCCTTAAGTTGCCCTAAAGCCTGTTTTATGGCCACAGAAACAACAAGAATGGGACTTGGGATTGTCTTCCAGATGGACGCTACGAAATATTTAAACAATTTTTCTATTTCTGTTTTGTCTGTTTGTTTGTTTTCTCCTTAAGCCTGTCCTGTGTTTCTGCCCCTTGCCATCCAGGGCTTCCTTTTAAAACCATACCTATCTCTGAAATCAAGAAACACAAAAAAGGAACTTTACAGTCAGAAAGGCAGCGCCTCAGCTACTGCCCCGCAGGGCCGGGGCCTGGTCTGTCCCCCTCCCTGGGATTTTCTCCCCATAAAGCTGCCAAGTTTCATGTAAAGATGAAACCTCCTCAGGCTGGAAGCTGCCCCAGCATCCGACCCCACGGGACATCTGTAACTCCTGAAGGTAGGGACATGTCCGGGCCCTTTGGGCTCCATTGGGAACAGGCTGTTTCCCAGCAGGAGTCCCCAGAATTACAAGCGGGAGCTCAGATGTTTTCTTTAAGGCAAGACTTGGGAGGGGAGGGTGCTAGGATGGGACCTGCATCTCCTTTATCGAAGCGACGAACCCGAGCTGGTGCCACCCAAGGCCCTGGCAAGCTCTGGCTCCCACCGCGGCGCGGCCGCACTACCTGCAGCAGGGCCAGGAGCTTCGCGCGCCGCGGCCACGCGCCAGCTTCATCCTGTCACTCAAAGCGACTTATTTATACTGTGTTCTAACCTACATTCCACCTCTTGCCCTGTTTTACTCAAAACTTCTCTTCTAGCTGGCAAAAAGCGACGACACAAATACTCACTATAACCGCGCCGAGACACGAACTCGTTCCGTGCTGTAGATATTGTTTTGCAATTTCACTTTCCCTTCGTGTGCAGAGCATAAACCATAATCACCTTCCGCAGCTATATAACCTGTTCCATTTACACAGCAATTGAAAGGCAAAGATATTACACGCACATAGAGTTAGGCTAGATAAAAAACGATGCACAGGATGAGGGAGGCTGTTCACTAAACCGGACACTGTCAGGAAGAAGTTTTTTTTCTGGAGTACTGAGTACGTGACATTCGCCAGCAGAAAGGACTATTTTCTGTCGTGTGTGTGAGCGCATGGGATTTTGGTTTCAATCTCATTAATAAAAAGGTTGGGTTGGATGAAGTATGTCTATTTTTAATTATGAGAACTGCATTACAATGTGCATTTTTATATACAAATTCTTACTATTTTTTTTAAATTCGCCTCTAGTATCTTCATTTCTAACCTAGTATATAGAGGTTTTTAGTTTTGTAAATACTTATTACCATGCACTGTCATAGTAAAAGTTGGTTTAAAATGCACTCTTTTTGTGATCAGAAACTGGCCTTCTCTTTGAAACTAAAACTACAGTACTTGATTGTATTGACAAAACATCAATAAAACCTATGGTATAAAAGGAGGCTCAGCTGTGCCTTTGTTCTGTTCATCAGAGGGCTTGCTCAGCCTCCCCCGTAAGACCAATCACACCAACCTCCTGTGCTGCCTTTCCTTCCCAGATCCCAGCAGGGCAGCAGATCTGCTTGCTAACTAATATTCTTAGGGAAGAAGGTATGGCGCGCTTCCGGGGATTCAGGAAAAGATTCCTGTCTCCAGGAGTTAATTTTTGAAAAAGGATGAAATCCAGACCCTTCCAGTCTGGCAATTATTAATCTGAGGAATTAAAGTCAAAGTGTCGGGGATTCCCTTTCCCTTCTCTGTTTTTTCCCTGACACTTGTTTTGGTGGTGTCACACAACCTTGGCTACAGCCAAGCTCCGCGTGCCGGGCAGCAACAGCAGTTCAGGAGCACACAGAAGAAACTGTGAATTGCCAGCAAGTAAATCGCCTTCAGAGGCTAAAAGTACGACGAAAAAAGGCAAGAAAATTACATTTTCCTACCTGATCTCTTACCTGGAAGAGGAGACATTACTTGTTCCAGGTGCAAGACTTGCAGAGAAGCCCGGCTGCCCCCTTCAAAAGCCGACAATGAAGAGCGAGCGAGTCTCCTGCTGCGGGTCGTGGGGGCACCTGGGCTCTGCGCGACCATCGCACACCGGGCTCCTTCCCCGCTCAGCTCCTCACTGCGAACCTTCCCAGCAAAGCAAACCTCCCCGCAAGGCGCCCGATCGCCGCCCCCAGCTCACTCTGCTGCTGACGAGAACCTCTGCTCGTGGGCTCTCACAGCCCTCAGCGCCCACCTGGAAGTTGTCACAGTAGATTCCCGGAGCTAAAACTCACCCAACCGACGCCTCGGCTCTACGCGAGATGTCTCTATCCAGCACTGAACGACTTCCATTCTGCTTTCTACTGGAAGATATCAACAAATTCATTTCAGGATGAGTCTTAAAGTCAAGTCTTGCGTGGGGAGAAAGAACCCAGAGGTTTTCATACGACTCCTCTTGCCACTTCGCATGGAAGCACAACTTCATGACTTGAATGAAAAGACAGGAGCAGGGGCTAATTAACAAAGGTAACTAAGTGATTTTATTTTTTTTCAAGGAAGTCGGAGCTAAATGTTGTAGTACATATTTAAATTCTGGCCTAAAATGAGCTGTATTTTTTAAACAGGAGCTCTGCTACTCTTCATGAGTTCCAAAAACTTAAAATTATAAAGCAGCTTTAAAAGCAAAGTATCTTTTAAACAATTCTGTGAATATGTTCACACCTCTGGGAGAATAAAAGATGTTTTTACATCTCAGACCTGCAGCACAATACATAAATATAAACCAGACCAAAATTCCACATGTTCTCAGGACAAGAATTCATTTATACAAGGAAAATCCATTAAAGCATCACACAGAAGACTGGCACTGGAAGGAAGCAGACTACAGGAAAAACTGGAATGAGCCACTGCAGCCAGATTTTCCACATGTGTGCAGGCAGCCCGACACACGCAGCCCCAGGGAGCGAGCTCCACCTGAGCAGAACCAGCACCTCCCGGTGTCACAAGAAATACGAGACATCATAGAGAATTACGTTGTCACATTCAAATTTATAAACATTCCTGCATGATGACTGCTCACCTCTTTCCTTTCGTTTTCAATTATTAAAAAGTTTTTAGCCCTTTTGAGACGTGCCATACCCAGGCTGTTGCTCCCTTTGGATCAGCTCCACTGGGCAAAGGATTTAAACTTGAAACTCTGGAACAACATGGCTTTGCTGGAATATTCTTGGCCACCGGCACCAGCCTCAAAATGCCCAGCTTCTTTTAAACTCTGATAAATCCTCCCCCAATTAACCGACCTTTCCCTTTGTTTTCAGATCACTCTTACCAAGTACAAAGTTTTAAGGCTGTGAGAAGTAACTCCTGCTTCCTAAAAATGGTCACCGACTGCAGCAGAACCAGGAATTCAAACCCTGTCTAACACCGGGTTTCTGAAATCTCTCCACCCACAGAGTTAAAGGGGACCCTCACTTGCTGCTCTGGACATACCCAGGA